TCAACACTTGCTCCTTCTTTTTTCTCTCATTCAAATAATTTTAAATTATCTGGCCAAAAAAATGGAGAATTTTGAATTTAGGTCCTATTCAGTTTCTTTTAGGTTGTCGATTTTTGTGTCTTTTGCCAACAGTTTTGCTTTTCTGTTTCAGAGATAAAACTTGTTGATGTTCCAGAAATGAGCTACACATCTGAAGATCTGCCCCATCCCCGTGGCGAAATTTGTGTCAGGGGTCCCATTGTTTTCCACGGTTATTTCAAAGACGAGGCTCAGACGTAATCACCTTGGCCTGTTCTGTGGTTCTACTAAACTAATTTTGGCTTGTTCTTTTTAAAATTACCTGAGTATTGAATCGAACCGAGCAGGAGAGAGGTGATTGACATGGATGGATGGCTCCATACTGGCGATATTGGGATGTGGTTGCCTGGTGGCCGTCTCAAAATTATTGACAGGTGAGAAAACTATGGGCGGTGTTTTAAAATAAAACATGGCTACTTAAATTATCGTCTCTAAATCCTAACCACCGTCTTAATCCTGTAGCTGCAAGCGTGCTGTGTTCATTGAATCAACTTAAATGACTCTAAAGTGGGGGGAAGTTTAGGAGCACTTTTGTAATCACTTTTGTAATCATATTTACTTCATAAAGTACAAAATCAATTCTCCATAACTAATTCAAACAGGCACTAGAATTGTTATCAATTATTTGTTGGTTTGATGGGTGCTATTTTTAACGAGATAAAAGTTTAATAATACCCCTAGTTTGCGGACTACCTTCACAACCGAGTCTTGGAAAAATGCACGGGTTCGATTTTGTTTTCTTTTCCTTGAATTAACAATCTTGTATTTAGATTTATTGATTTATAGGATCAGTTATATGGATTACACTATGGATATGTTACAATGAAAGACAAGATCCATAATAATTATTTATGTGGGAAAGTTGTCATGGCATATGTTGAAGAGAAAATGGTAGAAAATCAAGATGGTGGTATGTGTAAAAAGGACTGCTAGTGGAGATGGTGACAAAAAAGTTGAGCAAATGGTCTTTAGTGCTAAAAAGATTTAGGGGGAGATTCCAAAAAAAAAAAAAAAGGACTTATGAAAGTTATTAAACACGGGCTCTAGGTGAATGATATATCTGGGAAGTTGGTTGTTTATAAACTCCAATAATGTGGTATGATTCATATAACTAACTTACGAAGTAGAATAATACTTTTTACTATTAATCATTGCTTGTGCAAAATATGATAAGTGAGGGAAAGAACATTAAATTTCTTCGCTGTCATCATCCTCCAAAATACAAGCTGTGTTTACTGTAGCATGCTCGACTACTGAATACAGATTTGATACGTGTGATTTCTGTTAGAGTTGGTGTCTGTATTATTCCTGGTTCTGCTTCCCAGTGTTTGTGAATATTTCATATCTTCTCTCAGCATACCCATCACAATTATAATTACATTTATCAAGCATGTGCTTAAAATCTTTGCATTTCAAAATATAGGAAAAAGAATATCTTTAAGTTGGCTCAAGGAGAGTACATTGCTCCAGAGAAGATTGAAAACGTATATGCTAAATGCAAATTTGTGGCACAATGCTTTGTATATGGTAAGCAATTAAGGTCTTGCAACTTTGATTCGTGTAGTTGTGCTCTTCTATCTCCCCATCCCTCCTTGTTCCTTCTCCTAGTTGCTGATGCTTAGTTTTCCTTTTTTAGGTGATAGCTTAAATGCTTTTTTGGTTGCTATTGTCTCCGTGGACCCTGATGCCTTGAAAGCATGGGCTAATTCTGAAGGCATCATGGTAATTTAACTAGTTTTTTCTTTAGATAAAACTTGTTTCCGCAGACCCTAACAGTTATTCCAAATCTCAAAATAAGGAAAATCTGTTTAATTTTAACTACAAGGGAGAAAAACCTTCTAATTTTATCGAACTTCCATGTAGGCAATATCCTTCAGTCTTATTTTGCTGAGATTGCAAGTTTTGATTCATTGAGCTGTCACAATGATTTGCTTATTCCCTCAACTGTGTGCATGAATGTAGTATGATGATTTAGCACAACTTTGCAATGATCCAAGAGCAAGGGCTGCTGTCTTGGCTGAAATGGATGCTGTAGGAAGAGAAGCTCAGGCAAGTTCATCAAATCATGCTGTTGTGACTACCCATTTATAAATCTCAGTATTAAAATCTAAATATTTGTAACCACTTAATGCCCTGCAGCTTAGAGGTTTCGAATTTGTAAAAGCTATCACTTTGACAGTGGAACCATTTACTATGGAAAACGGTTTGTTGACTCCGACATTCAAGGTAAGTGTTTAGAATTTACGAGACTTGATAGTAATTTTCAATAACGAAGGAGGTGTTCTTCAGTCTTGGTCGTCCAAATCCATTATTAATCCACATGAATAAACCGGATAGAGCTTGTGAAGAACACACACACACTCATATGAATAAATGTGTGCATTCATTTTTTCAGATTAAGAGGCCTCAAGCGAAAGAACACTTCTCAGAAGCAATATCTAATATGTATAGTGAACTCTCCAGAGATTCATCCTTGTAACAATCCCACCTCGGAGCAGTAGCATCACGCAACTTATACGGTGCTGTATTGTTTCACAAAAAATAATGCTGGAATCCTATTATTATATTGATTCTCTCGATGACAGTTCTTTACATGTTTTTATTTGCTACGAGGTTCTTTAAATGTTTTTACAATAAAAAGCAATCAATTTCATTTGGCTAGGCCTGCAAACTTTCTATCAAGAATTATCATTATGTGCTGTGTTCAGTCACATAATTCCAAAGCTAAATATTCAAGATACGGCTATTAGAATGAGCGATTCAATATTTTTTAAGTTGAGTTTTGAATTAGAACTTCATGAATTGGGGGTGGGGGGATTTGCATTAAAAGAGCTTATTCGGATTATTTGGTAGAACCGAGGGCTGGATGGTTTATCACAAGACCAATTGGAAACCGTTGTTTTATCTGTGTTTCATAAAATATTTGTATATTAAAAAATATTTGGTATTAAAATATGAAAGTGCAAGAAAACATTTGTAATTAAGGCAAATTTACAAATGAATTCAGATATGAAAAATCCAGCGAGAAGTTGAAAAAAAATTATGAACGGATGATAAATACCACTTCGTTGAATATTTCGCATTTGTAATTATTGCTTATATGCATTCAATAGAGAGTTAAATAAACGCCTTACAATTACAAATAACAAATCAATTTATACAGTCATATAATAAAATTTTGTGTAGCTTTTGAGAGACCATTACAGAGCTTCTCTTATCTTATCTGTGAGGCATCCAACATTTGTTTTACAAGGGTTAAATACAACATACATTATATCACAACAAAAGCGCACTCACACACGCTTGTCCAGTAGATGTTTAATCATGTGACCTTTCTAACAAAGGAAATTGGTGCCACTAGACCCACCTTAAGCGAGTTGGATGATACTGGGACCATATGTAAAAGTTTCAAGTCCCTCTTTTTTTTTTTTCACAATTATAAATTAGTAGTATTATATAATTGAGAATGAGGTGGCGAAAGATGATCCTCAAAAAGGCCTGGTGGAAGTTGGCCTATTCAAGTCAACCTCAATCATGGAGTGTCCGGGTGGCAACATTCCACGAACTGTGTCCTAAACACAATGCCTTCTACACACTAATGCTGAATCCCACCTGGAAATGAAATGTGTGCCTTCAATGTTGAATGCATAAATAATTGTTTCACTATATTGCCCATAATTATCAACTCTCAGTTATATAAATTTTAAAATTGAAAATAAATGTTTTAAATTTATATAGATAAGCCTCTTACTATTAACTAGGTTTAACATGTTTTAATACTCTCCAACGTAAGTTTTTTAGTAAGTCGCCATGAAACATAATCTTCAATCGTAATTTATAAAATATTTTTCCGATTCTTAATATATGACCTAATTATTGAGTTATTTTGGTTCTAAATATAAGATCTATTTCTATATTTATCAATTTTTTCTAAATTATCCCTGTAGATACTGTCTCAACTATAACCAAATAGAAGATGGAAGAAGATATTAAGAAAGATGATTATGATGTTTTAGGAAAAACATATCATATTTCTTATAATTAACTAAATTATCTAACTTTCTTAATCTAATTAAATTGGTTAAATAGGTCTTATATTAAAGATCAGAAAAGTATAAAGTAAGTAAGTGTGTGATAAGAATTTTATTTTAACTTACGTGAAATGTTTTTATAAGTAATTTTTAAAGTCATGCCAAATATACCCGAAATATTCTGACCTCTAAACCTCAATGCCTAAGGAGTACGTAATATTTGAAAAATGGTCATTAAAGAATGGGTATATATAGCGAGGGAAAGATTAATTAAAAAGTGAAGCTTCGTAAGCAGTAAGCTGCAAGACTTGAGATGCTGTTCTCTACCTAACTGTAATCGGCGGTAAGTCCACATCAGAAAGACCCAGAGGCTATGATTCCATGCATTGGCATATCGTGATTTCTTGCCAAAAATATCAGTTTCTGATGTGTGAAAAGATCGGACCGTTGATCGTAAATACTTTCTGTCTTTGACATCAAGGTGGGGCCTCGAACTCGAAAGTCTTATCATAGTCTCGCCGTTTAAGAGCATTTCCCTAAACAAATTTTCCGTCGTCCATCGTTTCCTTCCTCGCACTTTGGCTCGTAGCTGCTCGATCAGGAACCCGGAATTAACAGTCACAAAACACCATTACAAGGGGCAACGACGAAATTAGAGAAGGAGAGACACAGCCGCTCATAATTCTACGCACTCAGTTGATTTTGTTAATTCTCTCCCTTCTTCCTTGTGAAAGAAAATTCCAATTACTGTGAGAATTTGGAAGCGATAGTTGATCTACGTGATATATGGTTACACGACATTGAATCTCCAATTTTATTCCAAATTTGAAACTTGGAACTCTGTGATGCTGGATTTGGGATTTTAGGGGTTTTAGAGTTCAATTTTTGACGATGTTGTCCAATCATTTCCAAAACGGCATCGAAACGGCGAAGCTTGTTTGGTCGCGGATTCCAAACTCGGAAGATTTGCAGTACCTGGATGATGCTGTTGGCCACTTGAAGAAGAGCGATGGAAGTGGCGTTGAGAGCCTTGACTACGAAGTCATAGAGAACTATGCTTACCGAGAAGAACAGGTTTTCCCTTAGTTATAAATTATCCATGGATTTATCGGATGTTTCTTTTTGGGGGGCTTAATATAACGATTTCGAGCTTCGCGCTGAAATTTGTAGGCGCAAAGAGGGAAGCTATACGTGAGCTACTTACTGGTCGTGAAATGGTTCTTTGCCTTGCTCATTGGCATCGGTAAATTCCAGATTTTCATCTGACTTGCATGCGGACGCCGGTTGAACTGCAACGCACATTTTGTTTCACTTTGATATCCATTGATTCTGATTAAGGATAGCCACTCGTGTCTGAAAGTTTTCCCCTCAAACTCATGTGCTTTTGCTGATAATTGTGATGCTAGAGTGTCATAATTTACTTCCCACATCCATGGGATTTGTAGATTTGTATCATTTTTTGAAGCAGTTTGGCTACTGAACTCAAGGGACGTGAAAAATAAAATGGAGACTGAGTTACTTTTCATCATTTGATGATTGCTAGGCTTGTTCGTTTCTCTTCCCGAATTGGTGACACACAAATAGGAAGACTTACATTTGGAACTAGCAATTAATATATGTCAGTTCTTCGTTGCAGGAAAAACTAGTCTGCATGAAAAGCTTAGCTCAAAACTGAAGTTTGTAATTTTTTGTACTAACGATTGCCTCTTTTATTAGCTAATCAATTTTCATCATATATTGGTTTTTCTCTGGTTTCTTGCAGGTACTGGACTTGCTGCCATTTTCATTAATATTTCTGTTGAGAACTTTGCTGGTTGGAAGTACTCATTGACATTTAATATAATCCAAAAATCATACGTGGCTGGTTTCATTGTATATGTCCTTATCAACTTGGTTTTGGTCTACTCCTCTGTATATATTGTCACACAATTTTCACCAGCGGCAGCTGGATCTGGTATTCCTGAAATCAAGGGCTACTTGAATGGTAAGTTCAAGTGTTTCTGGACATGTGATCATTCGGTTTCAACAAGTCTTGTATGCGCTGAGAACTGATTCTCATTTATGCGCAGGAATTGATGTTCATGGCATCCTTCTTTTCAGAACCTTGATTGGAAAGGTTTGATGGATTGCACTGCCCTTCCTTTTCAGTTAGTATTTCGTGTCTGTCTCTTAATTTCTGGATTCTTCTTGCTTCTACAGATTTTTGGTAGCATCGGCTCAGTGGCAGGTGGCCTTGCTTTGGGTAAAGAAGGTCCTCTTGTTCATACTGGTGCATGTATTGCTTCTTTGCTTGGACAAGTAAGCATATACATTTAAGTGTTATGTTTTTGTTATCCTAACTTTTCCTTTTCTTCTTTTGATCATACGGGGATGAGTGGGTTAAGAAGTCCAGTGGTGTTAGTATCCATCAGCATACTAAAGACTGAATATTCAGACATTGAACACATGATATGTTGCCTGTATGTTTTCATCCCTGAATGTTTGGACTATTAAGTTAATGCACCCTTCAAATTCAAACAGAAGAGAGAGAAACTATGGAAAGATTGAAAAAGTAAACAGATTATGCAGACATGATCTTGTTCAGTTAACTGAACTTCTCAAATTTAGACAAGTGCAAGTTATTCATTGTTACTGTCTCTTTTGTATTTTGTCTTTGGTGACATCATTCATATATCTACTCTAATCTTCACTTGAGAACTAAATGTCCACCCTTTTTAGCTCCTATAACAAGGAAGAGTTCGCCCAGAATTCCTAAAAGGCTTGTAAATTTATTGTAAAATGGAACGCAACTATACTGGTTTCATACTATTGAGCAGTCACAGTGCTTGGCTGTATTGACAGGTTTAATTGCACTGTTGTCATGGCCTATGGCTGCCTTCATAATCTATTGTAGTAGAAACACTGAAAGGTTGGGGTACTGAGGTCTGTGCTTTTTGCATGCGGATATTTCTACAAAGTGTCCACGTTCTCATGTGGGTTGTATTAAAATCCATTATCCATCATCCCAAAGGACTTTGAACATGTGAAGATGAACTTCCAATGATGTACGTGTACATGTGTGCCTACATGCAACCAATTGAAATCATCTTTTTGATGTCATGTCTTGCGCAGGGTGGATCCACTAAGTATCATCTAAGTTCGAGGTGGTTTCAAGTATTCAAAAGTGATCGAGACCGCCGTGATCTTGTAACTTTCTTGTTCCTTTTTATCCACTAATCAGCGAAAATAACTGAGTAGGGCACATAATGCACTTTTTTTTGGTTCCATGTTTTACCTCTCTCAAGCACTCTTTTACTAAACCTGCTCCAATCTCATTTTTTTTAATGAAGAAAAGACAAGGACAAAGAAAGTTCTCATTTCTATTTTTAAAATTTTTGAAAAGGTAACCTGTGGGTGTGCAGCGGGAGTTGCTGCTGCATTTAGAGCTCCTGTTGGTGGTGTATTGTTTGCATTGGAAGAGGTTACATCATGGTAGGGATTTAATATGTTCATACAACTGTATTTTCCAAGAGCATGTGCAGTAGAGATAGTATATCTGTATTGTTACATATTTAACAGCTTATGTGGACCTATGCCTACTTCATAAGTTGTATTTGTATGCACATGTCTCTCTAGTGCATTTGCATATGTTAGAATTGTATTCGTCATTTTGTGCATTAGCTTGTTTCTTGTGCTCTTGAAGGTGGAGGAGTCAATTGATGTGGCGGGTCTTCTTCACATCAGCTGTTGTGGCTGTTGTGGTGCGTACTGCAATGGGGTGGTGTAAGAATGAGACGTGTGGACATTTTGGCTCGGGTGGATTTATAATATGGGATGTATCAGAGTTAAGATCCAAGCTTTGTCCTTCTTAACTGTGAATTCAGTATTTAAGATTTTGCCTTTTCTTTACCTTGACTGATTTTATTTTTCTAGTGGCCAAGAGGATTATTCCTTCATGGAGTTATTACCAATGGCTATTATTGGGGTTATTGGAGGCTTGCTAGGTAATCCTGTATATCTTTGTTTTGTCCAGAACCTTACATTTTAACTTCAGTTGGTTGATTTACTTAGTGCCAATGATCCGCAGGAGCCTTGTTTAACCAGCTTACTCTTTATATTACTTCTTGGCGCCGCAATTATCTGCACAAAAAAGGGATCCGTGTCAAGGTATGCTGTTAAATTCTGATTGATTGTAATGTTGCCATCTGTCCCTTCTTCAGTGTAAATAAAATAAGAGGAAGAAGGGGAAAAAGAAGGGAACAAAAGTTGTCATTTTGATATGTTATTGTTAATTCTACAAGTAGCACAGTTTCTCTGACAATTGATTCCTGACCTTTTTCCCCTTGTATTTTTCTCATGTACAGATTGTTGAAGCATGCCTTGTCTCACTGTTGACGTCAGTTATTTCATTTTGCTTACCACTTCTCAGAAAATGTAGTCCTTGCCCTGAATCTGATCCTGATTGTCCTCGGCCTCCTGGAATGTATGGGAATTATGTCAATGTAAGACCATTGAGATCCTGCCCCTTGATTGTCTTGGTTGGTTCTATATAATTTTATGATGTGCTTGGTTTTCTTAGTTATAAGTTTCCATTTTGAACTTGTGTTTATGATCAGTTTCAATTACATGCTCGAAACTAGGATGAGGTGAGATATAAGAGTTACATGGTATATATACAGTTCATAGTTGTAAGGAAACTAACTATCCTAAAATCTTAAACCATTAGATATAGGCTTGGGCTTTATCTCTAGGAAACTCACTTATGTGAAAGCCTTACAGTTTGAAGCGTACAAGCGTTTTTTTTTCCTGAAAGCCAGCTTGCATAACAACTTATTCATATCCTGTATTAGAAAATATTCTCTGCTCTCTTTATCTAATGCTTCCCTTTGCAAGAACCTTCGACCTCTTCTACCAGTAAGAGATGTGTGGTTATATTTTCATTTGGATTTAATTGGTCCTTGTGGATTCAGTTATATTTTTGTTCTTCTTGCAGTTCTTTTGTAGCAAGGAAAAGGAATACAATGATCTTGCTACTATTTTCTTTAACACGCAGGTTTGAAATGAATGTCTAGAGATCTTTGTTACATATTATTCATTTATAGTTCCTTTAATACCTTGAGTTACTTTTCTATTGTTTCAGGATGATGCCATAAGGAACTTGTTCAGCGCAAAAACAATACATGAGTTCAGCGCCCAAAGTTTATTAACCTTTTTGGTACGGCATTCTTTGCTTACTGTTTTGGATTTTTTTTTCACACATTGGATTTTTCACCTGTAATGTTTCTTCATACTATAGTTAAACTGTTTTGTGCTAGTTAGTCTCATTGTTAGTCATGTCTGACTTTTATGTAAATATTTAGCTAGAATATAGATATCAACTCTCAAGATTTGTCCTTAATATGCAACTTGCAAGCTTTAAATGATGTAGTGTATATTTCTCTACTCGCAACCTATCCCTTTTATTTGCAATATATAAATAAATGCATTAATTGACACAAGTCATGTTTTCCATCTCGCTTGATACATTATTGTCCAGAAAAGAAGATGAAAATTTTATGTTCTTTTTATCGGCTGTCGGTGTTGTAGGGAGGGGAGAAGTTTGAAATCAAGCCAAGAGAAGCAAGCATAGTTGGAGATACATTTTTCTAGATTGCATAACTGCATTTTCTGATGATACTTATAGCACAAATAGAGCAATTTTGTTTCATTTTCCATAGGAGCATGTTTCCTTGCCAGACATGAATAAATATGCTGGCCTTGTTGACCAAGTTTCTGATCAGGACTTCCAATACGATGCTTTATCTTCATGTTTCTATATAATATGGGGAGTAAGAACGTGTGAGTTGTGACACCTTATTTCCCCCCTATTTTGATCATTTTCTCCATTATGTGGCAGGTTATGTTTTATACTTTAGCCGTGGTTACATTTGGTACTGCTGTTCCAGCTGGTCAGTTTGTTCCTGGAATCATGATAGGATCAACATATGGGCGCCTAGTTGGCATGTTTGTTGTAAGATATTACAGGAAGCCCAACATTGAAGAGGGAACGTGAGTGTTTTGCTTGTTGGCTATTCTTTAAAATCATGGTTAACTATATATCTTTTTCCTTCATACCATATACGGGCATGTAGTTTTGTTCATTGAATCCTTTGTTAATCAACTGATGAATCCTGTGTATTACTTTTTGGATAATGCATGTTCCCTTGATTGTCTTTCCATTTTGTTCTGATGTCCTAAAACTAATATTTCCCTCTTTGAAGATCTGACCGTTAAAAGGAAGAATGATGCTAAGGTTACTTCTGAAACAATAAGCCAATAATTTGCCACCTTTTCCTAGGATTGTATGTTCAGGATGCTTGGATTTAGTGTCAGGTGATGTTTAAAGGAGCAAAATGTTATCGGTCTAAAATATATCCATTGTACTTTTTCTATTCATACTTTTATATGAAAAATGCACATAACTTTTGGCTGTTGGTGCCCATACTGTTTAGAATGATGTACTACATTGCTGCGCCTTTTATTGTCCCTGAAATGTACTTGCGGTACTTGTCCCCAGGTATGCTCTGCTGGGAGCCGCATCTTTTCTTGGAGGTTCAATGCGGATGACAGTGTCTCTCTGTGTTATTATGGTTGAAATCACAAATAACTTAAAATTTTTACCCCTTATTATGCTTGTTCTTCTTATATCAAAGGTATGTGCATAAAAATTTACTTCTTAACCGAAAGTCAGAAATGCCAGTTTGAATACAGTAAATATGTGTCACTACAGGCTGTTGGTGATGCTTTTAATGAGGGTCTCTATGAAGAGCAGGCACGACTGAGGGGTATTCCATTACTGGAACCAAGGCCCAAATATGTGATGCGGAATATGACAGCAAGGGAGGCCTGCGGAAGTGGAATGGTGATTTTGATTTCTTTTCAGAAATTGCCTATTCATGAATTAGCTGGTGTCAAAGGTCAACTAGTCTATGTTTTTTGGCTGTTAGTATTTCCCACCATGGAACCATTTAGAACATGGAAAGTATTTTTGGGCCACCAAAATTGGGATGCCTAATTGAAATATGGGTCCATTTCCATATCTTTCCAGACATCACTAGCTTGTAAAGTTAGAGGGAGGGAGGGGGAATATTATTCCAGAAAATCGAGAGAAATGTATTGGCATAGTTATTGGGGGCATGGGACTATAAAGAAGAGAGGGGGAAAGAGACGTCTTTTGTTAGGCCTCTTCTGTATGTGTTACTTTCAGCAGCTTTGTCATTGTGCAGTCACATCAAGAAAAGGCGCTGGTCAACAAAATGCCACCTTTCTACAAGTAGCATTAAATTATTATATTAGTGAATGGCCAACATTTATGAAATAAGGGCTCCCCCTTAATTGGACTGAGCTCTGCGTGCTTCTTGCCTTAACCTTTTTAGCAACTGATTGTATTATTGACTGTATATTGCAGGTGATATCCTTCCCCCGTGTTGCTAAGGTTGCAGATGTAGTTTCTATCCTTCGGAGCAACAAACACAATGGTTTTCCCGTATGCCTCTAGCTCTTATATTATCTTTGTTTTTTCATTTAATAATTTAATGCCTGGCATTTTGCGAACTGTTCAATATTTATTATTATGCAAAGGTGATTGATCACACAAGAAGTGGAGAACCACTTGTTATTGGATTAGTACTTCGAAGGTGAGCATGTTACATTATCCTGCATTTGTCTTTATCTAGTTGGTTTTGTAGGCAGAAGCTTGCATTGCCGGAAAACTAAAGCCTTCATTATGTGTCTCTTGGTGCAGTCATTTATTGGTAATTCTGCAATCAAAGGTCGATTTCCAGCATAGTCCTTTACCCTCTGATGCCAGAGGTGGAGTGAGGCCAATAAGGTAAGGCTTGATGGAGCTTTTTGTAGATTTGTCCTTTTTCTCCTCTATTCTCATGGCTCTTTTGAACTTCCAGGCATGACTTTGATGAATTTGCGAAGCCTGTTTCTAGTAAGGGAATATCTATAGACGATATACTTTTAAGTTCAGATGACTTGGAAATGTACATAGATCTTGCCCCTTTTTTGAATCCATCACCATATATTGTGCCGGAAGATATGTCCTTGACAAAGGTGTGATTTTTCCCCATTCTTTGAAGACAGTTTCATTTCCATGCTCCTTTTATGTCAAATAATTATATTTTGCTGATGGTGCAGGTTTACAATCTTTTCCGCCAATTAGGGTTGAGACATCTATTTGTTGTTCCGCGTCCATCTCGTGTACTTGGCTTGATAACCAGAAAAGACTTGTTGATTGAGGTAATCTTCTCAGGTGCTGTTGAATTTTAAGTTTGTTGGAACTGCAGAATTATTTAATGTTTTCTTACTATGTAATTAATGTTTGACCAGGACACTGAAACTGTGAATACAGTGGAGCTCCAGTCAACTAGAGTAAGGTCTCTGATGCTTCACTTTTGTTACATCTATTTTAGTGAAAGTGAATACAAGTAATTATGCTAGGCATCCTTTTTCAGATTCTAATGCAATTTGAGTTTCTGGTTGTTGAGGATTGCCACTATGCCATAAAATTATGTTTTGTTGCCTCTTTGCAATTGTCGCTCTGATATTTTGTAGGGTCTTGTTATTTTCTGCCAAGGTTTGCGCTTCCATGGAACTTGTCTTATCTCCAAGATTCAGTTACCTAATGATTTTCTTTTCAAATAGTGCGTTAGAGCCTAAATAGGAGCCGTGTATTGGTTGTCTCCTACCGGGGAGACTTTTAATGACTGTGACTTGTGTCCTTGTGTATTCAGTCTATTGCTGCAATTTTCTCTTACAAGCCGGGATCATCATTAAATCATTCAGTAAATATTTAGTCGCAATAAATTGACTTTTTAATATTCTGTCCATGATTTTTTCTCCATTACAGAATGCAGAATCGCGATAAAAAATTGATGACCAGTAATGCAGATGCTGAGCGGCCTTTGTTGAATGGCCTACTGATTCAGGATCAAATTTCTGGCTAGTGCTGCTTGCAATTTCCCACAGATTAGGCCTATCTACATTCGATTTTGTCTCTAGTTTATTCTTTTTATTTTTAAAATTTAAATCTAAATATGATATGGGTCCCCCATGGTTGGTCGGGATTACTCTTTAGTGGAAGGGGTAGCAAACAATGCCCCAGAATTTTGTATATTATCTACTGGGCAAATGTGGTTTAGCAATTTATCATAGACTATAGATAAGACGAAGTTCTCAGAATTTAGCATCCGAATGGAAATGTGTGAATATTTTTTTCTATCATGCTGGTTTATTGATTCATGAGATTACTTTTCTTAGTGGCAAGCTCAAGCTATATGATGGGGGATGGATTCGTATATCCTTTTTCAAATTTTTTTTTAATTACATCATAGCATATTCTCCCCCCCCCCCCCCCGGGCTCCCCTCCCCTCCAATTATACGCCTATTGGCATTGTGTAGGTAGCTTCGGAAAGGACACAGGTGTAATGACAATGGTCTCCATTTTTTAATATAGAGGCGAACGCGCTTAATTAACTGGCTTCTATTTTCTTATAGATTTTTGTTAGAAAATCATATTTTTTGCCCCAACAGTAGAAATCCTTGCTTCGTACTGGCTTTTACTGGGATGTTCCGTCACGCAGTGTTCATCTGTGCTCGAAAAATTAAGTTAAGTTAAAATAAAATTGCAATAAGATTCTCCCAAGAAAGTTAAATACAAAAAAATTTCTTGAAATTATTAAATTATTTTGAAGTCATGAGAAATCTCATTGTAAGGAACTATATTTGCTAAATTATCTAATTACTTTTATTTTTTTAAAAATACGTATTGACAACTGAAAATATATTCGTTAACAACTTAAGGCGTAAAGATTAACAACTATTGTAATAAATATTGATAACTCATACATTATATTTTTGTGATATGTTGAGAAAGCGTATTGTTAATACATGTTGTAATAGTTGTTAACGATTGTTCTTTCAGTTATCAATACATACTTAAAAATAAACAATTTGATAATTAAATAAATAAAATATATTGCATTGAGGCCTTTTGGAGCTTCAAAATAATTTAATTATTTTAAAGGATTTTTTGTATTTAATTTTGTTAGGTGGAACTTTATTATAATTTCTCTAAAATAAGCTGGGTCCCTGCGCAAGAATGATGACAAATCGAGAAAATAAAACAAACTTGGGTCTTAGCTGTGCATGTTTTTGGAAAATCTCAAAAATGCGGAGTATCACGAAATCACATAATAACTTTTAAATGGCCGACGTTGTTTTTTCAATTTCTCGACCGTGCACAGCAACTTTCATTATGAAAATCGAGTGAGAGAGTTACCATCGCGTAGTCCCCCTACAGTCAAATCATTCGTGAAACCTGTGTCCAGACTCCTTTCGTTTTTTTGGGTCCAAACTCCCTTGGCGCCACGTTAAGGCACTTCGCTTTATTTTCCTAGTACATTCAAAAAGTAGGCATCGGTTGTAAATAAATCTTATAAAATTTGTCTCTTGTTCTCATTTTGCCTCTCTGTATAGAATTCCCATGTGATAAGAGAATCCGCACACTTGAAAATCCTATTGTGATCCCTTTGTTCCCTTCAAATTTTCGAAGTCTCGTTATAAGCAAATAATACAATGAGCATGCTTTGCTGCCCCATGTCTACTGGAGGCCGCAAAGGAGTATTTATGTGCTTGTCATTTCGGGTTCATATTCAATTCATGCAGTCATCATCGTGGTTTTAATTTTTGGAAGGGTTTTATGTTTCTTTATCGAAGTTCGTCCATCAATCCATTTTTCTTATTCCCCTTTTAAAAATATGAACGCCGCGTATCCTCCAATATGCTTTTTATTATTTTTGTTTGAATAAATCCAACGTATACACAGATATCAAGATGATTGACCCAAGTGAGATGGAAAAGGAAACATAAAGTAAGTAAGATTAAATCAGCAAAACTAGGAAGGCTAGCGTAAAGTACTATATAATGACTTTTCTTTTTATTTTAGATTGCAATCATCCTCTTCCATGATCCTGCTTTTGATATGGATAATGCCCTTCAAGTACATGCCCATAATCTTGTTAAGCAAAAAGGTTTGCAAGCATGCCTATAATGATCTCGGCAAATGATGTTGACACTGATCCTTTGGAGAAGCTTGCCGGACCATTTCCAACAAATTACAATGAACCTGACCAGACATTTTATCATCTAAAACACTCGTTCTAAAACACCCGTACTCAAATATGAACTTTTATTAAGTCTTTATACATCTAACTGGTTCACCATTACCTTGAGTTTGATTCTCATCACAAAAGCGCATGCTCATTGAGCATGTCCAGCGAGAAAGATAAGCAACAATTAAGTGCATGCCAAGAGGAATGCAATGGACAAACCCAGAAATGCAAAACCTCCCTTGAAAGCAAAGAACAGTGAAGCAGCTTGATTAGGAGAAGGCGCAGGCCCGTTGTTTGGTACGGGAACGGCAGGAGAGGCCAAAGCAGAAGGAGAGGGAGCTTCTGAAGAAGTTGCAGACACCCTGGGGACGTTGATGTCAACCTTCTGGCCCGCTTTGCAGTGACCAGGCACGCCGCAGAAGAAGAAGTGGTGGCCGTGATTCTGTATCACTATGGAATCATTCCCTGTGTTGAAGGTCTCCAATGGGGCCGAAGCATTGCATGCCTTGTACATCTCATGCGTCACTCTCATCACATTATGGAATTGCGAGTTGTACTCAAAAACTGATATCAGGGCCACAACATGAATTAATTCATTGCCATCAATTTCTTAGCTCTTTTCTTCTTTCATTAATGATCAGCTTTCATGGATAATGGAGTTAAAAGATTACGAACATTAAGTCTCACGTAATCTTGAATGTTTTTTAGTAAAGAAAGAGAGAAGGATGCCCTTTTTTTTCCCTTGTGATTCTGGATATATGAATGTATTGTTTAGTCCTTAAAAGCATGGCATTACCATTTTCCTCCCCCAAAAAACAAGTGCTTATTCAAAAGCTATTAGAAATCATTTTTAGCATTTCTATGCATTGGAACTCGTGCAAAGGCCAAAACAAACACACGGTTAATAATTTCGCCTATGTATTTTCTAAAATGAGGCTGAATTAGAATATTACATGTTTATGAAAAATGGATAGGGTATCGTGAGCCGATTCAAAATAAAACATATTGGCGAATTAACTATAAATAACCATGCTCAAAGTTTATTGATTGAATTTATTTATCAAAATGGGATGTATCTAAAAAGATTCACGTGATATAGTGTTTTGTGAGACCAACCCAACATTCTCATTGCATTTTGATGAGTTTATTCCCTTCCAGAAAAAGTGGGTGCACTAATAACAGTACTGGGGAAAAAATGAATGCCAATGGAAGTGGGTAGGTCACGCGAGTGAACACTATCATCATGCTGGTTCTAAAAGAACAAAAACTTTCAAGAGAGAAAGATACTAAACACTTATGTAGGGCCCTTGGCACACATTTTCTAATAATTTAAACAGGACTTGCTTGCTTAACAGAGAAATTAACTCCAGAAGCTTCCTTCTCGTAAAACAGGAAGGGAAATTCATACAGAGTGCAGCAGCTAGCCCAAATCTTTCCCCGTTAATCAATTTTTCTCCTCAAAACAGGGTATTCTTATTCTGTCTTAGAAACTAAGACCGAGAATTGTAAAATAGTGGTTAGGTTGATATCTCCTTTGACTCTGAAAATGGAAACCCCGTTTTCTGGGAAACTCTGAACCCTTCTTCTCATAAATTAACAGTCACGAAATTGTGTATATAAATGGAATAGGTGTGAGGACTTACTGATAACGTCGCCAACTTGGAAGTTCTTGGTAGCAGACCAGTTCTTGTAGTTTATATTGCCAATGGTGGTCCAACCAGCAGAGTCCCCAACCTTGTAAACTGCTCCATATGACACCTCCACAGCCGCCATAGCTACCACCATCAATAAAACAACCAAACATCTCTCTGCCATACCCATCTCTGTACCTCTAAGGTCTGCAATACCTATTTCTGTGTTGTCTTCAGCTTTGCTCAGTTCAGTTTTGTGGGTTATGAAGGCTTTTATTTCCTCTTTGGAGTTTTATATAGCTTTTGAAGGTTGAGGTTGGAAAAGTTAATGAGTTTGGTCCCTTTTCCCAATGAGAACAAAGAACAAGTGGGTCCCTTGTTCTCATTGCATCGGCAGATTCGATGGGCTCTGTGGGTCCAAGAATTTCTTTATAAAACAATCACAATCGCATGTATGAGATCAATGATCGTGTTCAATTTTTATGTTAAAATTGAGGGAAAGGACTTGCTTGAAGTTAAACTTAATCTTGAATCAACTTTTTATGAATAATTAGATTAGATATATTAGTTGGCTTATCTAACTCCCTATCAAAGTATGCTATTCTGGTGAATTGTCAGACTTGCAAGGAAAGAATGTCAGGAATGCGGTGTGGTTGTGCGTGCTGCTACTGCACTCCATCTTTGCTATTTACTATTTGGAAATTGTAAGGTATTGGTAAGCTTCATCATTATGGGCAACCACCGTAGGTTGTTCCCATTTGGTGGTTACATGAGACGCAAGCATTAAGCACAACACTTAATTGCTTTTAGACAGCATCTGTTTCAAAGCTACAATTAAATATCCATCATTAAGCATACGCGTTTCAAATCCTCGTTCCAAGCAATCATGCGGATAAAGGTTTGTTTGATCCAGTGTCTGTCCCTATCTAAGGTATGTCATCAATTTTCAAAGAGTCTTCAGAGCTGAAAATAGTTTTAGAAATTAGGCCTAAACCCAAATATTAGTGGGTTTCAGTCTAAGGACATTGCAAGGGGTTAAAGGCAATGCCAGGGGTAGGCTATCAGACCTACCCGCAAAAGGTTAAAAACTGTCTTCCAAGCAAATTTTGGACAGAAAGTTTAGGAATACATTAAATTAAATGGGTTCTCGAAGTATAAATTATATGTCTGAACAGTGATAGTTAACAAAAAGCAGGTAATGTGTTACATGATGTTATGCCTGATTGTTGGGTGTTTCACATGTATTGGGCGTCTGCCAATGCAGTGAAGGCATAAGCATGCAAATTCTGTCTGCAAACAATTTGTGATCTGAACTATAAACCTTTTTTCAACTATAAATAAATTTTAAATATCTATTGGAATGACATTATATCATTGAATATAAGGAAGAAAAGACAAAATAAAACAAAAGAAAATTATCTGAAATATGTTATATTGACTTCTTGTTTTATTCATAGTCAAATTTGTCTCTCGAACATGGAAGCCAACAGAACTAGCATACTTTGAAACTAACCCATTATATTAACCTACAGTAACCAGAACAAAAAAGACCACGAAACAATTGAGATAGCCTATTATATTGAATCCTTAAGAACCTAACACATGCAGACGATAATACTAGGTTCAACGTTTTTAAAGCATTTAAAGTAATGCCTAAGGCTAAATTATCAGTATAACAAAACCCAAATGGAGCGGCAGGCCTCTTATTTACAATTGAGAAGCAGGATCAAATCCACTAGCATGCCCATCTATTCCTTTGGCTACTTTGTCCTCCGCAACATCATCATCTTCCATAAACCTCTTCCAGAACCAATGCTGCTTCCATACTCTCTGTGACATCTCTTCTATGGGAACATTCTTGGTCTCAGGGAGCAAGAAAAGGACGAAGAGGGTCATGATTAAGACCCATCCGGAGAAGAACAGGAAGATCCCAAACTTGAAGTGACACAACATGGAGAGGAATGCCTGTGCAATGAGGAAGGTGAAGAACAAGTTGACACAAACAGTCACACTCTGCCCAGCCGAGCGAGTCTCCAGAGGGAATGTCTCACTGGGAATGAGCCACCCAAGAGGCCCCCAGGACCAAGCGAAGGAAGATACAAATGTGCACACCATAACCACCACTAAGACAGCTAATCCTTTTGAAAGGTCATCAGAGTGGTCCGTCACCTTGATTCCTAGGATCACAGCAATTACCACTTGGGACAAAAACATCTGAACTCCAGCTTCCAATAAGAGCATGCGCCGTCCAACTTTGTCCACTGAATAGACGGACACAATAGTGGAGAGGACATTAACAGCCCCAGTGATCACAGCAGAGTAAAGGGAAGCATCATTTTTGAATCCCAGTGTGTTGAACAGCACCGGAGCATAGAACATGATAGCGTTTATACCAGTGAATTGTTGGAAGACCTGTGTTCGATTTCAGCACCCAAATGTAAGAAAGCGAATAAAGGAAACAAATTGAAAAGCAAGCTTCAGCAAAACAGAGCACCAAGAGGGTAAAAGATTAAAAGAGGCACTGACCTGCAAGGCGATGGCAATGACCACTTGGGGTCGATTGCTCCGATGAAGAAGATTCCTGAAAGGGTGCTTGACCTCTTGAGCGATACGGCTTGCCTCCACGAGTTCTAAGAACTCAGGCTCGACGTTGTCGGTGCCCCTTATCCTTTTAAGCACAGCTTTGCCTTCTTCCAAGCGACCACGCTCGATGAGACTATTGGGAGTGTCCACTACCAAGAGAGCCCCTAAGGTTAGGAGCCCCGCAGGGATGCCAGCCAACCCCAGAGATAGCCTCCAACCCCATCCACCTTCGATTCTGTGGTTGCATTATTGCCGAATATGGAGCGAGGTCAGCACCAGGATTCAACCAATCTTGCGTAAGAAATTAAAATAGCTAGGAAAATTGAAGTAATAAAACAGACAAGGAAAGGACTTACTTGTTGGTGCCATAGTTGACCAGATTAGCAAAGAGAATGCCAATAGTGACATTAAGCTGGAACAGTATATTCAATCCTCCACGTATTCTTGTAGGTGCGATCTCAGAAAGAAAAACCGGCACAGCCTGTATTCGAAGTCACGGAGCAGTACGAGTTAGCTACATATTACAGTAGGTTTAAAATGCTCCACTCATTTGCACTTGATTTAACGGGTTCAAAAACACTAATCAAATGGTTAACTCCACACATGGACCCAAAAACCCTTAAAAGGTCACCAGGTGTTTGTCTAGTCAAAGAGTACAAAGATCGCTAAGTCTTGGTCTTAGCCAAACACTAATAAACGATGTTATCAAATATCTATTTTGCTTTTATATATATATATATATTACTATATTGTTAAATTGTAATTCTGCCATATATGTATAGTTAGCCCTTGAATATAACATAGTTATCATCATCAGCAATATATATTTTAATTAAAGGAAGCCAGAATGCCCGCAGAGCCATGAACTGTGTATGGCTTTTTTGGGCTCCACATGCAACCTCGTCTAACTGTAAGAAGGAAAGAAGATTATGTTTGATAGACGGACCTGGTTAGCGAAACCAACACCGCATCCGAGAAGGAGTCTACCGATGATGAGCATGGCAAGGTTTTGAGCAGCGGCGTTGAACACGGTTCCCGCGATAAAGAAGAGGCCGGCGATCAACATGGTTAGCCTCCGTCCCAACTTTCTCGTCGTATAGGAAGCGAAGAAGGTCGCTGTCAAACCCGCCACGTACAGAGACGACGTGAATAATTGCAACCCTTGGTTGTCGTACTTGCAATAATTACTGTCCAGCCCTTTCTCCTCCACCGTCCTTCTGTACACCACCGGAAAGAATTTCCTCAGGAACGGTGGCATGGACGTCACTCCACCTGATCCATTCCACCATAACAGATAAAGTACATAGTTAGTTGCAAGTTATAACTTGCAATCAGGTCTGGGGTACGATGACCGTTTTGCCAACACAGTGACCGTAGAGGTTTATCTTAACAGACGTTCTTATTTTCATAGAAGAATAAAGCTGAATGTAAAAGGTTTTTCTGTTTCAAACTTCAATATAGCAATTAGCGTTCGCAGGAATAAAAGGCAATCAGTTTTACAGTCACAGTGAAAGAAGAGTTCTTATCAATCGTCATCATCTCAGTCTCAGCGAAACAAAAAAGGAGTGTGGGGATAGTGAAAAAGGAAAGAAGTGTTGAAGAGAGGGAAATTACCTGAAACTCCGACGTCGTATCCAAACATAAGGCCTCCGGTGGCTGCCATTATGCATGAAATAATAACGAGCGGAGTGATCTTGGCTTCAAAATCGCCGCCGCCGCCTCCTTTAACGAAACCTCCGCCAGCCATGGTGCTTCTCCTTCAGATCACACAACTCCAACAAAATGTACGAGTCAATGAGGGCAGTGTGCAGAGGGGGAAGAAAGATAAGCAATGTAGAGCTAGCTAGCCAGTAGTGTGAGTGAAGGGTGGACGAATAGAGAGGTCGTATTTATAAGGCGCGTGTCAAACCTCTAACGTTTTAAATCCGTATGTGGTAAGGATTATCCGTACTTATTATCCAATAGAGCATATCAAATTAAAGTAATTATCTAATATATTACCCAAAAAAACTGTTAGAAAATAAACAATAAATTAAGATTTTAAAATTGATATAATTAAATTCAGTTTGTTAAAAAAATTTATCAAAAAACAAAAAAATATAAATTAAGGTTTTTATAACATAATATGAGCGTAATCGACATGTAAAGTTCCAATCCAATTGTATGGATCACCATGTCTTATGAAGGTCAAGGGAAAAAAAGATCGCTATATCTTGTATCAGTTCAATATATATTTTGTATTTCTTATAGTAAAAAATATATTTGATATAGGATAAAGTATGGTCCTAGAACACTTGATAACATAAGATAAGAATTGATAACCATGTTATTGAGTTATATGCATAAATAATTAAAATAACATCTAAAATCTAGTAAGGCAAGATGTAACAATAATTAAAATAAAAATTAGTTAGTTATTTAAACAGAAACATATATATATATATATATATATATCCCTTAAGAAACATAAATCGCAGCTGTCAGTTGAAATGGAAATCTTTTGCTGTTTAAAAGAGAAATTAAAAAAAATATAAAATTATTATAATTTTAATTTTATCTTATTATAAAATTTTATTTTACTATTGAAAAAATTTAGAATCATAGAAGTCCTTGTTAAACTGAAAAATAATACCATTCTACTCAAAATAATAATAATAATATCATCAAATCGAGTTAAGCCAAGTTCATCGGCATGGTTGACGCGATTTCCAACGAAATCGATGGATAAGATCCCCCCCCCCGGGGATCTTACTTTTACAGCCTAATTTGAGTCGGACGAAAAAATGTTGAATATAGGGTACTTACTTTTTTTTAAATCTTACACACCCGTCCGTTCCTCATAGGAAGGATTGGGCAATTAGTTTAAAAAATATTTGAATTTTTGAAGGGTGAAATATAAGTTTACCGATTTAAACTTGAAAGACTAATTTATAATTTTCCACACTTTCTTTCAATAATGATCCAAATGGAATCAGAACCAGTAGGGTGGTATACTGATATTCGTCCCTAGTCCAATCCATGACACTAGGGGTAACTTAGTAATGGACTTGGCTTTTTTAATGAATTTATGATAGTTTTTCCTTTTAGCCGGAAGAATTTATGATGGTTGATATATTTTCAAAGATTCGGTTCACGGAATCATATGTTGAACAAAATTCTTATATAGGAATAAAACTAATACAAGAACCTTATATGATCCCAATTTGATGCTATTTAATGTCGCAATGTAAAAGAAATTGAATCACTTTCAATCCACCTAATTATGATTTGCCCGGCGCGTGATCATGCTTTGCTGAGGACTGGTGCGTATTAATATTAATAGTAGGACGCTATAACAACTACTATTGCATTCTTAGTATGATTTATATTGTCTCAAACAGCATAATTCATTAGATTCGCTGTGCTAAATTTATGGCAAAAAAAAAAAAAAAGGTTTTAACTTGTATGTGAAGAATTTTGGCCTCTCCTCTACTTCTTCATTTGTTTTTTTTTACATCGAAGCTATTATGCTCTCTCCTCCCCTTAATTTTTCTCATACGAAGCATAGGATTAGAATAGGATCGAATGTGTAAATTTTATTTGAAATCGATAAAAATGACTCTGTTAAGAAAACTGAATTGCAATGGACTGGCATTGTATCTGCCATGAGAATGTGTACAGATTATTCTGTGTCTTTTAGGTGGAGATGTACAGTGGGTTTTAACTTGTATGTGAAGAATTTTGGCCAAAAGAAAAACTTGTATGTGAAGAATAAAAACAAGTTTTTTACGAGTCTCACTTGACACACAGGGCGCATTAAAACCTCGGTGAAGGAATCTCACCAAAATCATGGACATCTTCTCTGCCTAATAACCTCATCGCCACTCGTAAGCCCATTGGAATTATAACAATTTTGCACTAAACCCCAGCCCATTCATTACATTACTTTTCCAGGAATCCCATAATCATGAAATTTGCCAAATGCTGACACAAAAGAGGACAAATGTAGCCCTCATTATCCTTCATCCTTATGCTTCCACATGTTATTATTTAGTTTTTCATTCTTCAGTAATTACAACTCAGTTTTTCCTTTGGCGAGACAGTGTATTTTGATGGGAAAATATATGGAAGAAAACAAAGAGGATAAAGGAAGTATTCTTGACCTCTACTTTATAATCCAAATTACAACACTTCTTTCCGCCATAAGAAAAATAGAAATATGTATTCGAATAATATTATCTCTCTTGGTACCCGGAAGAGAAACCAAAGTGAAACCCTAGAGGAAAATGTCTGAAATATTACATTGCTTTCGGAAACAGGGTCAACTTATGTTCAAGCATTTACTACGTATGGAGCCTAAATTACTCGTATGCGGTGATATCGATATTTACAACTGGGAAGAGGGATTGAATCCGTGCCCATTTTTACCATTGGCTACTTTGCCAACCACAGCATGATCGTCATCTTCCATGAACCTCTTCCAGAACCAGTGCTGCTTCCATACTCTCTCCGTCATCTCTTCGATCGGCACATTCTTGGTCTCAGGGAGCAAGAAGAGGACGAAGCAGGACATGATCAGGACCCATCCGGAGAAGAACAGGAAGATCCCGAACTTGAAGTGACACAACATGGAGAGGAAAGCTTGTGCTATGACGAAGGTGAAGAGCAGGTTGACACAGACGGTCACACTTTGCCCCGCCGAGCGAGTCTCCAGAGGGAACGTCTCACTGGGGATGAGCCACCCGAGAGGCCCCCATGACCAAGCAAACGCGGACACAAAAGTACACACCATAACGACGACAAGGATCGCAAATCCTTTCGAAAGATCATCAGAGTGGTCCGTCACTTTGATTCCTAGGATCACAGCAATCACCACCTGGGATAAAAACATCTGGACACCAGCTTCCAGGAGGAGCATCCGACGTCCAACTTTGTCCACAGAGTAGATGGAAACAATAGTGGATAGGACATTAACAGCGCCGGTGATCACGGCAGAGTAAAGGGAAGCATTATTTTTGAAACCCAATGTGTTGAACAGAACTGGAGCGTAGAACATGATGGCGTTTATACCGGTGAACTGCTGGAAGATCTGTGTTCAATTTGAGCATCCAAATGTAAGAAAATGGATATAAAGAAGAATCAAGCGTCAAGCTACTGCAAAACAGAGCACCAAAGAGGGGGGAAATTAAAAACGTCACTGACCTGCAAGGCAATGGCGATGACCAGTTGGGGTCGATTCCTGCGCTTGAGAAGATTCCTGAAAGGGTGCTTGACCTCTTGAGCGATACGGCTTGCCTCAACCAGTTCTAGGAACTCAGGCTCGACGTTGTCGGTGCCCCTTATCTTTTTCAGCACAGCTTTGCCATCTTCCAAGCGACCACGTTCGATGAGACTGTTGGGAGTGTCCACCACCAGGAGAGCCCCTAAGGTTAGGAGTCCCGCAGGAATGCCAGCCAATCCCAGAGATAGCCTCCAGCCCCATCCACCTTTGATTCTGTCGTTGCATTATTGCCGAATAAGTTGCGTGAGAAAATAGGCAAACTGAACTAATAAAGCAGACAAGGAGAGGACTTACTTGTCGGTGCCGTAGTTGACAAGTTCAGCGAAGAGGATGCCGATAGTGACATTGAGCTGGAACAGTATGTTCAATCCTCCACGTATCCTCGTCGGAGCGATCTCGGAGAGAAAAACCGGCACAGCCTGTATTCAAATTGAAAACTTTGAAAAATTAGTAAACTATAGTAGGTAGTTTTATTACGTTATTCCACTAATAATGTGAACTTGATATTTTTATTCCGATTTGACGCTTCCAATGTCAAATTCCTGCGTCCTCAAGTCAATTAATTAATTGTTAAACCACTCACAGACGTTGGGCCTTTGTGCCCATAATTGATTTTCAGACCTAGAGCAACTTGTTTTTCAAGCTTAAACAATTATGAAGGTCCAATTTATGACGAGAGGATAACATAAATTATACAATTAGGGCTAGGTTGGTTAGGCAGAAATCAGTTTTGTAAATTCCGAAGGAATTGAGCTTGGCTTGCTCCTTCGGGATGTTAAAAGGAAATCAAAAGATGGTCTAATTATGTTAAATTATAATGACGCTCACATGATGAAGCCAAAGAAAAGAGGTCCCTATCAAGTTCCACAACGTCAGCGGGCAGAATACAGTGAATTCCCAAAGGGGGTTATAAATTAAAAACTAGCGGACGATGAAGTCTATGGGAGGACCAAAGAGAACTTAAACATGATCACAAAGTCCAAGCGCAACCATAAACTTGCCTTTCAAAGGCACAGCGCAATACAGTATCAACATATTTGTGCCCTGCCCCCGTGACGATGCGGTTGCAAAAATTACAGGGCCATAGCGACGAAGGGGTGCCCACTGGCAGGTCCCACTGCGTTCCCTCGCCCTGTCGGCTGTCGCAAATCGCAACCGGATCTCCATGGATCCGGGTCTACCCTTCCTCACCCTTTTTTTTTTAAAAAAAAAAATCCATAATCCATTTTAAAATTCTTTGAAAAACAAAAAACCGGGAAACCTTTTGGCTGTTAGTTTCGGTAGGTCAGAGACGTCGGCCATGTCCTCTATGCAGAATCCCAAGTCATATCCAAACAACCAAAAACTGCAATCTTATTTACGTCTTCGCGTCGACGAAAATGACGCCGGCAATATTATCTACCATTTTGGAGGCCAACAACGACTTCAAGTCGTATCAGTGAAAGTATATAGGGATTGTTTTGCACACTCTACACCTATCAGACCCATAAATAGTAATTTCAAAATAAAAAAAATGTCTTTTGTGCAAATGCTCTACCCTGTGGGAGCGCACATGTATATGCTAAACAAATACGGAATCATAATTCACAAAAATGGATGCAATGAGCTGTGGTCAAACAATGCCAGTTTCTTCCGGTGTGAAAAAAATATTATTTTGCACCTGTTAATATGGAGTCCTACTCGGGGAGGGTAATATGGTAATTGCAAAGGAAAGACAATATATGTTTAAATTTTAACAGAGGGACGGACCTGGTTAGCGAAACCAACGCCGCAACCGAGTAGAAGTCTACCGATGATGAGCATGGCAAGGTTTTGAGCAGCGGCATTGAAGACGGTTCCGGCGATGAAGAAGAGACCGGCGATCAACATCGTCAGCCTCCGTCCCAACTTTCTGGTGGTGTAGGAAGCGAAGAAGGTCGCTGTCAAACCCGCTAGGTACAGAGACGACGTGAACAATTGCAATCCTTGGTTGTCGTACTTGCAATAATTACTGTTCAGCCCTTTCTCCTCCACCGTCTTTCTGTATACTACCGGAAAGAATTTCTTCAAGAATGGCGCCATCGACGTCACTCCACCTGATCCATTCCATCGTAACAAATAACACACATTAGTTCCGTGGGTGTGATTGTAATTTTATTCAGTTCTCTCCGCCCCGGATGATTTTTCTTTCCCCGCGGGTCAATTTAATAAGTTTCCGATGGCCTTGCCAGTAGGGGTTTCCCAATATTTTCATAAAATACCCGTTACCGGATTGAACTCCTTTTAATTTTCACCGAAATCATCACATGTCATTTGTAATGGACTATATTAAAGGGAAAAAATTTTTTTTTGTTTTGTCGGATGGACTTTATAGCAAAAAAGCCTGAAAAATCAGACAAAAATATTTTAATTTTTTTAAAAACAAAGTACGAATATTCAGACAAATCTATAAAGCTAGCTTTACAAATAGGAAGAATAAGGGTTTCACTTTTCAGCGTCCACCCAAAAAAGGAACTCCGGTCATATTGGCGAAACAGGAACAAAAATGATAGGTTACTGAAAAGGAAAGGAGTTGAAGAAAGAGAGACCTGAAACGCCGACGTCGTATCCGAACATAAGGCCTCCGGTGGCGGCCATTATGCAAGAAATAATGACGATAGGAGTGATCTTGGCTTCGAAATCGCTGCCGCCACCCCCACTGACCATAACTCCGCCAGCCATGGCTGCTTCAGATCCACGCTCAGCGCACGAAATCTTAAGAGTCTATGAGAGCAAGACGTGAAGACCAGTAAGGAAGAGAAGTTGAGTAGATCAATTTTTACAGGAACCGAGAATGGGGAGTGGGCGTATTTATAAGCCAGGACCAGCGAAACAAATGGGACGACGTAAAGTGGGAGCCACCTCGAGATCGTCCCACGTGGCAAAGTCCGTTTCCCACTTCATCTCCATTTTTCTGCTAATTCTTTGACCCTGAAACCATCGAAAATATGTTGTCAACCCAGAAAGGGCAAGGAGTACTAGTATTACATAATATGCTCCTGCATAAAAAATATTTTTATCACACAGTAAATAATAAAATAATATTTTAGAAACAATATACTTTAAAGCACTGAATCCAATAGCTAATTGATGCGGGTAATTTGGATGGCGATATCTTAAAATATACGAAAATTAAATTTTTATCAACACAAGATTTGTTTATTCCCCAAAAAAAATAATAATTAGCTGGCTTGCTTTTTATCATGTGCCATAAACTAGTTGATATTTTCGGAGTCGGTTAATGCAAGGGGCAGATCTTACGTTGGAATAAAAATCTCCAGAAAAGTAATACGCATGGCTTACAGTGCTATCTAATTTTGTATTCGAATGTCTAAGATGTTTCTTTTAAAAAAATTGAGCATACATGGGTGACGTGTATAATACAATAGCAATAATTGAATTTCTGAGGTCCAAAAATTTGAGATAAAAAACAATTTGAATTTGAATGGTAATTAATATATTTAATAAACAGACCCGACGCATAAAAAAAATAAATAGACCCGCATATAACGTGTAGTATTACACTGTACACATGTTGATAGCACGCACAAGCATGGCTAATATACTGCATTCTATATCATCAAAGAATTTGACCATCTATATTTCGGATGTTTAAATACCTCACGATAAGGATTATATTAATATAATTAAAATTTGGCATGACTTGGAAGTGTCGCAGTGTAAAAGACAAAGAAAGGCATCATCATAATGATGTATTATATTTCCAGGCCAAGAAAAAAATAATAACATTTAAAATTTCAAAGATTCCTTTAAAAATTTCCGATCGAAAACACGTCTATGCATATCATTAGAATAAGAAAATATCCTGACTTTGAGTATTTTATTACGAATCATCGGTAGACTTTTTTTTAAGAAAAAAAGAAGAAGACTGTATGCGAGCTGTTTGTTTTGACTTTGAGCCCCATGTGGTTTGAAATGAACATACGGTGATAGTATTTAGTACTCCTTTAATCCTAAATATAAGACCCTTATATACATTAGTATAGAGGTTTTATATTTAGAACCTAAAGAGTAGTTTACATGTAATTAATGATTTCGTATAGGGAAGTTTAATTTTACTTCAGGAAAGGAGCTAAAAAAAGGGGAGGAGGAGCTGAAAAGTAAGAATGATATCGTGGTTTTTGCAAATTTTGAAGAACCAAAAGCAATTTTGTCAAGTAGTTAATTCTCATCTAAAATGAAATTGCAGACCAAATGGTCAAATATACACGTTCAATAAGAGGACATGGAAAGTGGGATGATTTGAGGGAAGAAAAACCAAAAAAGATAACAACGTGGAAAGAGATCAATGTGATTGGCAACGGGGGATCCAGAATTGACCGGACAAGATAATGCAAGTGGCAGCAACCATTTGGAAAGGCGCGTAAGAAAATGAAACGCGTGAACAGAAGAGAAGCAGTGGAGGACTTGAACTGAAGGAGGCAAGCTCGCCAAAAAGCCAACACGTGAAGTACTCCGTATCTGACTGGGGCCCCCAAGAGGGTTTGATTTCTGTGAGTGGGAAGCCCACCGTCCGGGGGGCGCCACTGACCCTCACTCCTCGCCCGCTCCAACCAAGCTGGAGCCCACCCAACCCACGACCCACCTTACAATGCGTCAATTTTTTATTTTTAAAATCTCTGTCGTACTCTTCTTCTGATCCCGTTTATAAGATATTTTCAGTCTATTTCATATAAATTAAAAAAATTTAAACTTTATTAACTCTTATTTAAAATTTAATAATTTTTTAACTTTATTTCTATTTAATATACATTATAATTCATATAAATAAAGTCAACACAATAATAAATGAAAAGTAAAATTGCACATCTATGTAAAAAAATTCTCTCAGTACCCTATAAATAAGACCAAAAAATATTTTCTCCCTCTACCTTATAAATAAGACTAGACGGGTATTGTTTAAAAATAAAAATAGCTGCGCAATTACTAACTTCTACTCCTTGAATGGTTATAGTTGGTTAGAAAAAAATTTTACATGGATGTATAATTTTACCTTTTATTTATTATTATATTGACTTTATTTACATGGGATATAATGTGTATTAAGTGAGGATAAAGTTAAAAAGTTATTAAAATTTAAATGAGAGTTAATAAAGTTTAAAACTTTTTAGTCTGTGTGAAACATATTATAAATGATTTATAAATAGGTCTAAAGAAGTACTCATTTGGTCATGTTTATAGGACAAAAAGAGAAAGTATTTTTTCTCTTATTTATAGGATACTGAGAAAATTTTTTTGTATGGATGTATGATTTTACCCCTCATTTATTATTGTGTTGATTTTGTTTATATGAAATATAATGTATATTAAATAGGAATAAAATCAGAAAGTCATTAAATTTTAAATAAGAATTAATGAAGTTTAAGGTTTTTCTTAGTCAGTGTAAAACATACTGAAAGTGCCTTCTAAATAGGACTAAAAGAGTATGATTTTTTCACTTTCACTCCTATTGAATATGCAAAGAGAGAAGATAGATTAAAAATAATAAAGTGTAACATTAAATGCAATTAAATCTTTTTTAGAGGTGAAATAAAAAAAATTTTCCATTTCTTTTTTTTTTTTTTTACCTTAAAAAATTTTGCCATTTCAAAACATATCTAATGACTAAACTTTATTTCTTAATAGGAAAAATCAATATGGAGATCCTTGTAGTTTTCACTTTTCATTAATTTTGAACTAGGCTCTTAAACTTCTTTCTCTTTTTATCAAATCCTTGTTAAACATCCACTCAAACCGTTAAGAATTACCGTTGGGAATCACTCACCCGCGTATCTACTTCTTTCCCTTCCCACCATAGCCGTCTAAACAAGCTCTCCTCCCTCCTTGGGCATATCCTCCACCATGCAGCTTCTTCAACATTTGGCTTGATCCCTGCTTGGAACCGTCCAACATTATTAGACAATATCTATTGCTGAATATGATCATGTTTCAATCTAATCTTAAATTTTTGGGATGTAGTTGTAGCCATATTCTATTTTTTTGATTACTTGCAGATATCGTACCTCAAAATAGTTTTGTTTTCCTGTTACTAAAACAGGGGAGACCTTCCCAATACACACAACAATCATGACACATGTAAGGTCCTTATTCTGTCTCTTTTTTATTCCACTCCTCACAATAATAATTAGATTTCATATAATTATCATAAAATGGTAACATGTTAGCATATTTTAGCGAATTTGATCGAGGAGATGAAGAGAAGAGGATAAATTTGGGGTGTGAGATATAAGAGGGACAAGGTCGGTCCAACTCGCTTTGGTTTTTATTATGATTCATTCATGGAAGGTGCCCCTCGTCTAGACTTTACTTCTTGTTTTCTATATCTTCTGTGTATGGAGGCTTTAGGAACACTGTGTGACCCATCCATATTTCTTTGAACAGGGGCGATGCAGGAGACGTGAAAGGAAAGAGAAGATGCAATGATCAGTGTTCCATGACAGAAATTTTTAACAGCATTAACATTTACTTAACGGAAGGGCTACCAGATATAACTGTAAAAAGTTAAAGGATCTAATAAAAAAAATTCAGAACCTAATTCAAAATTAAAAAAATTACAAGCACCCACAAATTACTCTTTTCTTCTTAAAATGTGAGAAAAATTATTGAATTTGAAGTACTGCTGCTCGTGAAAACTTTATTTATAGTTTATAAATAAAATTTTATAATTAAAAGCAGCAGTGATATTAATAAGTAGTCAATAATGACTGTTGAGGAATCCCAGTTATCCCGTCCCACCGTTGCTGACTGATAAGATCTTTGACACAATGACACGTGCCATTTCGGATCTCGCCCTTTATATTATCATTGAAAAAAATAAACTACATAATTCCCAAGGAAATAGTGATGTCATTTTGTTTTTGGAACATGTGTTGCCGACGCAAGGAATTGAAAAAGAAAAGTGTCCGGAGAGGGCATCCGCATACGAACTGACGTGGCTTAATTGCTCTACCTGATTGCTTGGCCCATGTGAACCTGCGCCAAAACGTGTGCTCATGTTCTGCTTAGAGCCCACATCGCCGTGCGGCAGCCAACGTTTTTTCTTTTTATTTATTTTTTATTATTTCATTCCCATTCCCCGGTTTTTAGGCCTTCCTCCCGTTACCATCCAGTAAATAAATTTTATGTCGTCGAGAAACCATACTACTAAATCCATCGAAATTTTCATATTTCTCTTCGTAAATAATATAATATATGGTATAATTTTGGGAAATGCAATTTCTTCATAATTTAAATAATTTTTTATTGGTCATCCTTGATCAGCCTGGCATAAGATCTTCTCACACCAAAAATAAGTCGAATCGAAGTTGTATGTAATTAATTAGCCCCTTGTTTTGGCATTATATGAAATATAGTAAAATAGGCAGTATTGGTAGTGATTTATGAACAGTACACTGAACTTGTTGGGGAGTTATAGATATGGACAGCACATTAGAATATATTGAGGGTGGAGAAAAGTACTGGCATGACAAGCCCCCAGGAAATAGGTGCACCCACAAATTCAAAAGCAACAAGCTAACATCAAGCCCCGTGCCTCGTGCCTATGTGAACTGCCATATATTTATATATATATCTTTTTTTAAAAAAAATTGCGTATCAATTTTTTGTCCATATTTGTAATAAATGGTTCAGAAACACGCATGGGATAATTAGAAATGAGTGGATATAATGAGCAAAAGGATCTAGATGAGGCTGACACATTGTTTTTTTAATTTGTGAGCGCAGCAGATATGGAAAGAGAGAGAGAGAGAAGATCGACATCAACAATTTAA